TGGCAGTGGGGTTGGCAGGTCCTCCCCTGGCTACCAGCGGGGGATGGGGGGTAGGATTGCCAGATCCTACCAGGTGGTAATGGTAAAGGTAAAGGTTCCCTTGCTCGAAAGCCAGTCGAGTCCGACTCTAGGGTTGCAGTGCTCATCTGCGTTTCAAAGCCGAAGAGCCAGCACTGTCCGAAGATGTCTCCGTGGTCATGTGGCCGGCATGGCTAAACACCAAGGCGCACGGAACGCTGTTACCTTCCCACCGAAGCGGTACCTATTTATCTCCTTGCAATTTCTTGCTTTCGAACTGCTAGGTTGGCAGGAGCCGGAACTAGAGACGGGAGCTCACTCCGTCATGCGGCACACTCGGGTCTCGAACTGCTGAACTACTGAACTTCCGCAGCCTGCAGTTCAGCGTCTTAACCATTTGAGCCACCGCAGCTCCAGATCCAGGTTGGGAAACTCCAAATTTGGAGGTGGAGCCTGGGCAGGACGGGGGCCTCAGTGGGGTACAGTGCCACAGAGCCCACCCATGCTCTAAGCTGTGGAGTCCTGTGGGCAAAAATTCTACTTTGGGAGCTAGCGGCCTTAAAGTTGTGAGCGAGCAATTTGGCCTGCTGCATCAATTAGTGTGCTCTGGAGCCCTCCTTCCTGAGCTAGGACAAAAGTGTGTGAGCCGGAGGCTAGAAAAACCTGTGAGCTAGCTCACACTGACTCAGCTTAGAGGGGACACTGGAGCCCACCCTCCATTTTCTCCAGGGGAGTGGAGCTCTATAGTCTAGGGATGAGCTATCACTGCAGGGGATCCCCAGGTCCCACCTGGAAGCTGGCATCCCTAGACGGGAGGAAGTTCAGCATTCACCCCTCCCACAAGCAATCGTTTTCTCCATAGAAACTGCTCTCTAGTGTCTGGGGATCAGCTGTCGTGCCATGAGATCGCCAGACACCACTTGGGAGGTAGCAACCCTAGAATTTGGCCTCAGGCGGGTCCTTGAATGCAGCAGGTTTTCTGAATGGCGAAAGAGGTGCTAATGGCAAGTCACTATCCTCTAGTGGCTCAAGTGGTTAAGACGCTGAACTGCAGGCTGTGGAAGGTCGGTAGTTCAGCAGTTCGAGAGCCAGGTTGCCTCATGACAGAGCTCCCGTCTCTAGTTCCAGCTCCTGCCAACCTAGAAATTGCAAGCAAGAAATTTTTTGTTGTTCAGTCGCACAGTCGAGTCCGACTCTTCGCGACCCCATGGAAGAACTCTCGCCAGGCCTTCCGGTCTTCCGCCGTCCTAAATAGGGACCACTTCAGTGGGAAGGTAACAGTGTTCCGTGCGCCTTGGTGTTTTGTCATGCTGGCCACATGACCACAGAAACGTCTTCGGACAGCGCTGGCTCTTCGGCTTTGAAACGGAGATAAGCACCGCAACCCTAGAGTTGGACTCGACTGGCTTTCGAGCAAGGGAACCTTTACCTTTACCTGTCCTCTAGACGCTGCCCACTAATGTGCCCATCTCACCAGGCTCCACCCCATGACCAGTTCAGTCCAGACCACAGCTGTGCTGGCTGACCATTCATGATTACAATCACTGTTTGGCAGGTTTACAACCCAAATACTACTTTGCAAGCCAGTCTTCAGTACAGGCAGGGGTCATTTCCTGCAGGAGCGCACAGGAGTGGAGCTCGGAAAGTAAAGAGCCCAGGGGGCGGGCACATCCAACAAGCCCCACCCCCTACTCCCAGCAGCCCTCAGTCAGAGCAAGAAGCAGCCAGGTAAGTTGCAGAGGCCCGCCCTCGGCCCAAAACAGTCCAGTGGCACCTTTAAGACCAAGGTTTATTCAGGTACAAGCTCTCCCTCCTCTGCAAGGGCAGATCTGCACGTTCTCTCCCCCCCCAATAGCTAGGAATCCAAGAGTTCAGTGGCGCCTGAGTGGTGGGTGTTGCCTTCTGATACACTTCCGGTGATGTCAGGGGGTGTGGCATATGCAAATGAGTTATGCTATTAAGTTATGCTAATGAGCTCCTGCCCCTCTTTTTCTACAAAATGACCCCTGAGTACAGGAGGGTGGTTTCCAAATCAAGAACCTGAATGAAGTGCTATGAAAATCAGAGATGATGCCAGCTGGGCTAAACAGCCTTGAAGTTACTACGCTTCAAAACCCAGGGAAGGACCAAGCAGAAGCTGGAGAATATGGACCGTTCCCCTTTTATCCTTCCTTGAATCCACAGGAAGAAGAGGAGGAGGAGGAAGAAGAAGAGATTGGATTTGTACTCCGCCCTTCACTCAAAGTCTCAGAGCGGCTTACAAACTCCTTTCCCTTCCCCTCCCCACAACAGACACCCTGTGAGGTAGGTGGGGGTGAGAGAGCTCTTTCCAGAACTGCTCTTTCAAGGACAGCTCTTGTCAGAACTACGGCTTGCCCAAGGTCATCCAGCAGCTGCA